GACAAGAACAGACTATATATGAGGTATGCAAAGGCATGGCTTTATCTCCCTTCCTTAAAAAGCTATCAAAATAGTATTGGTGCTTAAACTCTGTTATTGGACCAACCTTATATAAGAGAACTAAAAGTCACCTTGACAGGAAGGCTGCAATCTCTTTACGGGAAGAATGGTCCGAGTAAGGAATTGAGATCAGCTTTTCCTTAACTATTCTGAAAAGTCAACTGAAATAAGTACAACTGAGTTTTCTCTCGCTACATTTTGAGTACTCTTGTAGCATTAGCAAAAAGCAGTTTGGAATGCTGATGATAAATCGACAGAGAAACTGACCCCTCATACTCGCCTCGCACAGAGAGATCAATAACAGCCTTCGGATTCTGCATTTTCTTCAACATGGTTAGAACCTGCCTGGAAAATTAAAATTTCGAGTAAAAAATGAAAAAAATGAAGGGAAAAATTGAGCGACCGTACCTTGGATGCCTTTGTGACGTGTAAATTCGCGCACTAGTATCGCTTTCCTCACTGAACTCTCCTCCTTCCAATCCACACACCTTCCTCACACTGAGTCGATGACTGCTCGTTGCTATGACTTCCTAAAGGAAAAACCTTGGGGATGGGTGAAGTTCAAAACCATCAGAAATCGATTACAAGTGGATCAATGGCTTATCCATCAATCACTTGTATAGTTGATTTCCAGTGCATTTGCTGCTGGCGACTCGGCTCAACGGCAATGTTGCTACCTTTTTAATCAGAAAGTGACTATTTGATAGTTTCTGTTCTTATTGTTATTCGTAATTTGCTCAAGTACTGTTGAAGACGCCTTTTCCAGTGGAACTTTCCAACAGTCCCTCTTGGACACCTCCTGCAACGCGACTTGCCATGTCCATGCTTAATTTCCTTTCCCATCGCTTTCGCTCGGGATTTCGGACATTTGAGGCTGAAGATGACCTTTAGGCTGATTCGCTGAGAAAGCTACCACATAATTTGCAGCATCTGTTATTGCCACTGCATATTCAACAAGTGATGGAACAAGGTGGGACAAAGTAGCAGAAGGCGCAAATTACGGCGATCGTTTAGCTTCAAGTTCGTTACGTGTTGAGAACAAAGGAATGATGCCAAGAATAAGGAGACCATCTACGCTGACGTGAGACGTTTGAGACTGCGTTCTTACTTCGCGGCCGCGTCCACCAACGTACGTTAGTGTTGCGAGCGAATGCCAGCGCCAGCGATTAGGAATACAGGTATCGATCTAGTGAACGCCAGGCTTGCCAGCGTGCAGCAGCGTCCAGGATTGTAGTATGGATTAGGAAGTAGCCGATGGCAGAATCAGGCATCGTGAAATTGCGGCCTGTGCAACCACATCGTACAACTGCCCTACACCGTACATCAATGTGGCATAATCCGTGCCCTAGCAGTTGTACTGGTGCGGTTGCACACGCCGCATTCACGACGTATAGTCCAACTGTCTGCTACCCTCCTACTTCACATACTCTCCATTCTGGACGATACTGTACGCCGGCAAACGCTGGTGGACGTTGGTGTTAGCTAAATTGATACCTATACTTCACTAGCCCCACGAGACGCTGGTGGACACGAGCATACGCTGGTGGACGTTACCACAAAGTATGAACGCAGACAGACAACGGACTCGATCTTGTTACCTAGCAGATCAGTGATGTAATAGTACGATAATGACGGAGAAATATGCATTTTGTTGATGCCAAATGACGTCAAGACGTCACGTCACTGACGTTTTAGTTGCGACACGTCATCTACCCCTTACCATATAACATAATGGATAGTCTACTCATGCTACATCAGCACCAATACAATGGTTATCTACAGCGCGCTAGAATCCACCTGATCTATGAACAACTATCACTCTTTCCCGATCGAGTCAATTTCTCAAGGGAGCCTACTCTCACAGCGCAGTTTCGCGCCAGTAGGTGCTTTGGCAAGCACTGTCGCCTATGTTCCTGCGGCACATGGTTCCGATAGCGGACCACAGAAAAAGTTCATAATTACGTTGCCTTTGCATCACAGCAATCTGAATGCGCACAAGGAGCACACTGAACCAGATGAGCCGAAACTCACGCAGCGAAGCAGCATTATGAAAAGAAAAAAAAACAAATCTGATTCAACGCCAGATATTGAATTTACCGAAAATGATTGGCTCAGCTTCTCAAGGATTTCCTCACGTCCAAGCTTGAACACTGGTATCAAGATCGAGTATTCATGCAGTTTTTCCATTTCAGTCATTAACCTGAAAGTTTTAACTTGACTCAGAAACCTTTCACAAAAATATAGACAAAGTGTAGTTCGCTGCGGATGAAGGGGTATGCCATTCGAGATGAGTTTGTTACTATGAAATATCCGTTCTTAACCAGTTACTGAAGTAAGCAAGTGACAAGGCTGTATCACATCGTTCGTTTCACTCGTTTTCTACCCACTGTTGTTGCATACCCGCTTCAACAAGTGGCAGAGAACAGGTTTGGCTCTGTGGCATGCTCATACTGCCTAACACGACCCTTCGTCCGCAGTGAACTAGGGAATACAAAAGTGGACAGGAAACCGCACATTATCTCAGCTTCTTTTCTATCCGGAAACGACTCTTCTCTATGGTTCAAGTGAGTGTTGTCAAAATAAATTTTGGAAACATACGTCTGAAAATTAGCAACTACTTATATATATAAAAAACCTCAAAGTTCAGAGAAAAACCAAAGAAATCGAAAGACCCACGTTGGCTAGCCTTCTGAACGAAGGATCACTGTCGAAGCGAGAAAGAAGGCGATCGTCCGCCCGAAAATCTCCCGTGCACAGTATTGCTCCGCCGGGAACGGATGCACCTGTAACTGGGGTTATAAATGCTATCCAAGTGAAGTAGCATCATAAGTTTGAGAAAGAACTATTGGATGCTTCTGTATGGCAAAGGATAATGACTGAGACAGAGAAGAGCTTCAGCCTTGGGGAAGCGATAGAGTAATTAGCAAAATATAACCAAAAAGCACGAGCACGAAAGTTCATGTGGGACCTCTTGACATGAAAAAAAGACGAAGAAGAGAAGGTTGCAATGAACCCATTCAGCAAACTATCAGCTTCTCATCGTAAAATTTACCTTCGAACAAAAACATTGCAGCTCCTAAGCAGTGGTTGGCATCCAGTACAGTAACCTGAACAAAAAATTTACAGTGTAATCCCATATACAGCTTGCACTTTCGAGGCTTCAGACCATGGTACACATAAGGCAACGAAAAATTAAATCTTTTGTGATGCTGTAACTAACGTCAAGGTTTGGCTCGATCGAATGCGTTTTTCCCATCTCGAGTGGACGCAGCAGTCGCGAGGGTACCGCTCGACTTCTGAAGGCGACAAAGTGAGCCACGTTAGAAGTCGCACTACAACAATAAGGCGCAACTCGGCCAAGGGAAGAAGTTAGACCGTTTTGTTAGACCGCGCCAACGTGTACCGGAACAAGGAGAACTCTCGTGAGGCTCTGAATAGGACGCTATACAGCGTATCTGGTTCACCCATCCCAGAGCATCTCTTCCTGTGAGGCGCACGACAACAACGGGATACTTGAGACAATCTGTACATACATATGCGAGAACGGTCCTCGGCATGTGTGAAACTTAGGAGTCCGCAGCTGCAGCAGCATGCTACATTCTCCGCTCAAAAGCGCACTGGAACGGGGCTGTAGGGTAGTAGCATCCGAGTATTGTCTCAACAATCCGCCTGCGCTATCCTCAAGGTGCAGTACTTGCGTCGACACCAAGGTTCCACAGCGAAAACGCTGCCACCTGTAGCGAGTAATTAGCACCGAGAGAGCGCAGACAAGTAGATCGTTTGGATATGGTTAAGCGTGGGCTAGCCGTGCGGCAACCGGGCATCAATAGTCTCCAGTACCGTTTCCGCGCAATTTTGACGACAGAAAGTAGCATGCTTCTGCGGCCGGAAACCCATTCCCCCCACACAAGGGAAGGATTAAATTCCACGGAAATCCACGGAAATTAGCGTCAATTTGTATTTGAGTACCTACAACTGATCCCTCAAAATGATCCGACTTTGAACAACCCGATTCGCCTCCCTTCGCAGTACTGCACCAATTGTGAATATAACGGTAAAGCCCTTGAAGCAGTAGGACTGAACGAAACTTACCCCATCATTAACGGCAGAAGTTTAGCTGTTAACTCTGAGCAGTATATTGGTGTCTTCCATGTTTTCTAAAAAGATTTCTCTCATTGAGTCATTCAATTTCATGCAGTAGAGAATCACTTATGGAGGTTGTACTGATCTTACAATCCTTCTAAAAAACCCGACAACTTGTGGAAACCGCACTCACGCCAAGATTGACGAAGTGGTCGACGTGGGCATGCGTCAAAAAGTGATACTTGCATTCATCCTTACGACTGGAAATCCCTTCATTAAAATATGCGACAATATGACGGTGAC